CTGTGTGTGTAAGTGCACCCATGTTGTGCAATGCCTACAGAGGTCAGAGGAGTCATATTCCGCTGGAACTGGAATTACGGATGGTTGTTAGCCACCATGTCATTGCTGGGAATCGAACCCCAGTCCTCTGCAAGAGCAATCAGTGCTCTTAACTGCTGAGCCATCTCTCCAGCCCCTATTCATTTATTCTTAATTAACAAGTAAAAGTATTTATCTGTGGCATACATAATGATATTTTGAGATATGTTCCCATGGTAGAATTGCCAGGTCAAGCTGTTAACACATCCAACAACTGTTAAGAATATAACATGCTCTTATTACCTGTAGTCACCCAAATACCACACACTCTCAGTCACTCATGGAGGCCGGTGAGTCATCCTTATAGAATAGAATGGAATGGTGGTCATTAAGTCTGGTTGTTAGTGAAGTTTTAGAATGAGATTCAGTAGAGGCACGAAAACAGGGTGGAGGGATCACACCTGGGTTTTCTCTAGCACAGTGGAATAGCTCTTTGTTAAAACAACCCGTGATATATTTCAAAATGACTGGATGGGTATGAAATCCCCAACAGTTACGAATGGTTTAAAGTTGAAGAAATGGAAATGCTTCTTACCTTGTCTTGACTATTATACAGTGTATGACTGTATTGGATTACTATAATATGTCCCATAAAGATGCAAAATTTTTCAAATTTTTAATGAAAAAAGTAACCATAATCATCATGTTGTACAATATATCTCTTGATCTTATAATTCCTGTCTAGCTGGAATTTTATATCATTTAGATCAGCATCTATTGCCCCAACCCCAACTCTGTGGTCCCTGGTAAGCACCACCCTACCCTCTTGCTTCTGAAGTGAGAGCATTCAGTATTTGGCATTTGGGCCTGGCCACTTACGTTTAATGTAACATCTTCCAGCTGCATCTATGTTGTCAGAAATGACAGAATCCCCTTTTTAAAGACTAAGTACTGTCAGTGTATATTTATTTCTTTACATGCATGCACATATCTATGTGTGTGTGTGCATGTGTGTGTATGACATTTTCTTTATCCATTCATTTGTCACTGAACATTTAGGTTAAGACCATACCTTGGCTATTATGAATAGTGTTTCAGTGAACATGAATGTGGAGATCTGATTTTGTCTTCTCTGGATATACACCCAGTAACAGACTTGTTAGATCACATGGTAGTCTCTTTATTTTCCATTTTGAAGGCATATACAGAACATAGAGGTACATGAAGACTCAGGAAATCAAAATTCTATTCTCTTGCATTTGTTTTCTATTTGTTTGTATGTGTGTAATTTACGCATATAGGTGTGTTCATGTTCATGTGCACATGTATGTACATGCATGTGGAAGCCAGAGGTCAATGCCAAGTGTCTTCCTCAGTTGCCCTCTACCTTATTTTTTGAAGCAAGGTCTCTCATTGAAGCTGGAGCTCTCTAATTGGCTAGACTGACCAGTGAGCCCCAGAATCCTCCTGTCTGTGCCCTCCCCGCAATGGGGTTACAGATATACCACCTTGATTTTTTGCATAGGTGCTGAGGATTCAAACTCGGGTTCCTCGTGCTTGCACAGTAAGCACATAATTGGTTGAGCCATCTCCTCTCAGCCCCTCCTGTGTTTCTTTTATGCCTGTTCCCTCCACTTGGTTCTTTGAGAGGAAACTGACTTAATTTGTATCTCTTCAAGGTGTTCATGATGCTAAACTGGATTCTTTGTTTGAGTAGGTATAAATTAGTTTTTCAGCAAATTCAAGATTCATTGTGAATCTCCCCATTTCACTCTGAGAAGTACCTGATATACTACAAAGGCTGAGAGAATGCTTGGCAACCAAGATCCTTGGTGACAGAATGAGGTCCTCAGACTTTTGAGGCAACAGCTCCAAGCTGTTCCCAAGTATACTAGTGACCCAAGCCCAAGGACAGCTCTGTCCCCTGACTGGTTTCCCACTTGCTTTCTGCTCTTTTCCACAGAGGTCACTCCCCAGAATGGTACAGCAAAGGCTTTGGACATCTCTGTGCAGCAGAAGTTGCCAGAATCAGAAACTCTTTCCAGCCACTCATTGCCGAGGGCCCAGAAACTAAAATCTGAGTTTTCCCCAGTGTGACATCAACTCAGGGAGCGGGAAGCAAAAACAGATGCCTGTGGCAGTGGAGTGTGCATATGTAAAAGTGAGAGAGGGGAAGCACTGTTGGACTGGATGACACTCACAGCAGAAACACTGAGAAGTGGAACGTGGAGAACTTTCCTAGCCTTCCTGGAGATGGCTAATCCCTACTAATATAATAGCTTCAAAAATCAGAACATTTATCTATGTTACTTAAAATTAAATGGGTTATTCCTTGTGCATTGCCTAATTTGCTATTTAAAGGCTTCTAAGAAGCATATCCTCAGCTGTAAATAAATGTATTGTAGCATATGTACATATATGTGTATATCTCAATCTTTACTGTACATATGTAAAAATATCAATTTTATATATAATTGAGTGTCTGACTCCGTGAGTCTTTTCCTCACATAGCTCTTCCCAAGTTGCTTTGTATCCCATGTCCCTACTGTCTTGTAGCTGAGCAGAGCCTGCTGCCTAAGCCAAAGTGTGAAATGTGTAGTCTGCCATTCTGCCCAAACGTTTACTCAAAGATTAGCTAACCAAAGAAAAATAGTGTTAAAAAATTCTTCCACATTTTGACCACTTATTTCTGTTGTTTAAAAACTGGAGTGGGATGTTTGAACTTAAATTGAGGAAAATAATATTTAATCCTCTTTAACACAAAGAAGTAGGTGAGAGGTTATTGTCAAATTTAAGGCTAGATAGTGAGTTGCCTCTGGGCCCACTCTATGCAATTTCAGTGAGATGTCAGGTGACCACTGGAGTCTGTACCAGGGACTGAAACAGAACTGATACCACCCACCCCCATATAGGGCTGAATAGAGCCTGTTCCTAGTCACAACCAAAGGGAGCCTATGCCCCCACAAGACTCATAGATACTTTTCATAATGCTGTTAAATATTCTTCTGTTTGACCAGTGGCCTATGTGGCCAGTTATTTGACATGTTCTTACAGTGTATTGCACTGAACTTGACTCTGGACACCAAACAAAGGGAGATGATGGTCCATCAAGAGTCCTGGATCATCACAGCTTCAGGGAATTTATATTGTGCTGTATATGATGCTCTTAAAATCTAATTCAATCAAATCTTGCAATCTAAAAGACAGGGTTTTAAACTAACAGAAGATCAAACTGTATTGTTACTTATTTTTAGAGATTATAGCAGATATATTAATCCCATATTTCTTCATTATCCAGTGCAAACCACCTGCGCATTTGACCCCACCTTATTTATTACTGTACAGATTAAGCAAATTGGCTTTACTAAACCAATAGAGAATGGATTTATTGTTTTATTATAACTCAACAACTGTAAAGAGAAGGTAACTCTTTATCCTTGGCTTCAAGGAGAGATTTTCTTTGGTTGTCTGGACAGAGATTGATATCCTAATTTAGCAATTGGTACTGGAGGAAAAGGAAAAACAAATTCATGTTTTCGGGTTTTTGTATTGTATGAATTTATGCGATGTTTTCTTTTATCATCTGTGTGCAATTGTTTTAAGAGGAATAAAAATGCTATTTGTACGTTTGGTATGGCTCAAGGATAATCACAGTAGGAATTTTTCATTCTCATGTCTACCTAGGAAAGTGGCAGCTAGACCACAAGTGGCCATTTGGGCAGTGCTCTGTGGGCAAGATAAATTCACTTCTGCCATTATGCCTTACACTTAACCAGACACGTCCAATTACTTTTTATGCATTGACAAGATCTAGTGAAATTTAGTCCGTTTAGTCCAGCTCAACACTGGTCCTGCTGCAGAGATAGGGCACTATACATTTGGAAGATGGGATGGGTACCTGAGGATGAATGGCACTGTTTTACACAGAGCCGTGCTCCTTCATCTTCACCTGGGGCTCTCGTTAAAGTGCACCCTGATCCAAGCAGTCTGGTGAGCCTCACATTTTATATTTCTAATAAGCTTCTGGATGTGAATGTTGGCCTCAAGGATATTCTTTGAGAACAAGGACCACCAAGAGAATACTTAAAACTGAATAAAACAATAGACTTGTATTTCTCACACACCCCTCTTCCAGTTTACCTGACTTTTTAATTTTATGCACATAGTAATCCCATCACTGCTGCATAACAACAAGGTGCATCTTTCAAATAAAGGAAAGGAGGGGGAGAAAACTGATGCATCGAGCTTGTTTGTCAATACCACAGTATTTTATTCATTGTTATCTTGCCAATGGAAATAAAATATGATATTACATTTAAATATTATATTTATACCTCATATATTTTTACCTCAGTTGTTGGTATCCATCATCCATTGTAAACAAATAATTGCTGAGGCAGATAAATTTAAATACATTAAATATTTCCTATTTTCTATAAAATTCATGTTGATTCTCATGATTAATTCTACAAGTTGAAAGCATGCTTCATGAGGAAGACTTCTCTAAATGATAGTTTTCCATAAGCGAGACTGGTTGATACTGGCTGTGATCAGCATCATCTACAAAACACAAGGATGTTAATCAATGCATTCACCAGCTGTTAAGGTTCAGATAGCCCTGCCCCGTCACCAACAGGGCCTCATGGAGGACCTCACAAGCCCCTGAGAAAAGGGAACCTAGCTGATAAGCACTCTGGTCTTTGAAGTCAAAAGAAGCAGACTTTTCTCCACTGTTTGGCCAACACAGCAGGCTTCCCCTTTGATCTCTAAAGAGGGCAGGTTTTAACAGTCCTGCTCTCCTGCTTCCCCCTGCCCTAAAAAAAAATATCATCTTCCTGCCTTCTGCAAGAGGCAGAAACCTCCCTTTTTTAAGACCCAAGCTCAAGACCCAGGCAGACATTGCCCAACTTTAAAAAAAATATATTATCTTCCCACCTTCTGCACCTCCTAGAAGTCTCCCCCTTTAAAAGACCCCAGCTCATGACCTGGGCAGACATTTTCCCTGCCTGGAAGGGAATCTGTCCCATGTGTTCCTTTGCTAATAAACTCTATTCCAATGGAGTTTTATCTGTGTCCTGGTGCTTTCTCCGGATCAACTGGATTCATCCGTAGACTACTTTATCTATCAGATGGTGCCAAAGCCTGGTTCTTACTTCAAGGGACCCAATTGGACCTCTCCAATGCCACTAACTTGGCTTTCAGGTACACTCCCACCCTTCTTTTCTCTCTCCTCCTCTCCCCAGCTTTCTGCTTTGCTTTCATGTTCTGCTTCTCCTCACGGGGGAACACACTCTGCCTTGCCTGCATCTTCTTTTGATCTCCTTTCCCATTGATTTCTGTGACTCTTGGACAGCACTGGTCTCTGAGATGGAGCTGTTTCATCCGTTCGCTACCTCGGTTCCCCTGCACCACCCCCTCGCCACCCCACGCTGGCCATGGGCATCTCGCCCCCTCCCCCTCTCCTTTGCCATGGGCCTGCAAGATCTGCTGTCTTCCATCCCGTTTTCCCTGTCTTTGTCCTCTTCTACTGCCTTTCTTCCTCACTTTACTCAGGATGATTTCTGATACCGTTCAATCCAACACATGCAAAGGCTCTGGATCCTCCTCTCTCTCCCCGCCTCCCATACTAAAGCTTTCTACTCCCTGCCAAGTGCCTGCCAGCTTGCCACATGTCTGACCTCCCATGCAGGATCTAAACTTGCATGACCCCAAGGCTTTTTTTTTTCCTTCCCGCTATTCACCCCCTCCAGGCAGCTGCCAAGATTGCCAGCTCACCCACCCTGGGGATTTTTTCTTAACATTCTAATACAATGATAAAAAATTTTCCAGCCCATTCTTAACTTCTCTTATGAATGTGGCTAAGAACCCTTTAGGGGGCCCTTTCTCCCCATTTTGACCCAACTAGCCTAAACTAGCTGGGCAACTTTGCTGGAGCATATAAAGAATTTCAGACAACTTGCCCCATGGACAAACAGAAAACGTTTTAAAAGCATTTTTTTTCTCCTAAACTTTTTCTCCAGCAAAGGGGCTCGAAATTTTGATCTTAGTCCCTCTTGGCCATCAAGCAGTGCTCAGGCGCCTACTTTTCTAACTAGACCTAACCATTTTAAATTTCACTATACATAAAAAGTCACAGACACTGCTCAGGCAAGTCATATACTTTCAGACCAACAACCCAGTGATTTATATGCCCTGTTCCTTCTGCTGCCCTCATGAGTTTCTTTTCCAGCATAGCCTGACTCTAGGAATAAAGAGATCCAGAAAACTTTGCAACTACAATGGTTGGTGAGAGACATGGATTCCTTTGATTTGATTTTCTATTTGGGTAGCATATATATATCTGAGGGTACTTTCTTCTTTTATATCAAGTCTAACTACTGATACCAGGGGTGCCTAGGAGTTCCCTAAACCTCACACAGATGCCTAGGATTCTCTTGCAATTTAGTTTTGTTTTCATTTCTTGATGATGTCATAGAGTAAACAATACATTTCTAGTTCAGAGTAAGGGAATAATGCCAGATCTACACAATGGGAGTTTAAATTTTAACATTGTTTAAGGTCTGATTCTAAAGGGGATTACTTTGAGTTTTAACTTCCTCTATGGTATATTTACTGATTTATAAAGATTATTGTTCTAAGTTTTTACATTGTTTGACATATTTAGGGATTTTTTTTTTAAGGAATTATTTTTAGGGTTTTGACATTGCTTGAATGACATCTTTATCTGGTAATTTTAAAGAAATTATTTGGATTTTAACATCTTTTATATGGTATTTTTTATGGGTTTCTAAAAATGACTATTTTAAATTCTTACTCTTTTACATAAATAGTATATTTGTTAGTTTCTAAAGGGAACTTAAAGTTTTTCTAGCTATTTGCCTTAAAGGTGCAAAGGGAGCTGACACTTTATAATGACTAGACCTGTGAGGCACATGAAAATTTGCTGTACTCCAGGGCCAAAACCTTACAAGAGACAAAAATAATAGTCTACTTGAGTGAGAGGCTTGAGATGCCATCTCTACTAGTCTTAACTCCTCCCCTTTCTACATTGTGATTCTAAACCTGTTTTTCTCTGGAATACAGCTATTTCCCTCTCTGATGCTCAGATGCTCTATGCTTGCTTATGTTCCTTCCCCGTAATTCCCTGAATGCTCTCTAGTTATAATGTCAGAGTAATATTTATATTGGTAAATTGTCACATGTTGTTTGAGCTCACTGAGATGCTAACTCTGAAGGTGAGATTGGCCCTCCCACTTCAGACTCAAGCCTAATATCTCAAGATGTGTTCTCCAAGACTTTTCCAGGTACAGGCTGGCCCCCTGACCCTGTGACAAGGAGAAGGAGCACAACAAAACAGCCTAAGAGTAAAGGCACTCTGCAGTTGAGAACAACTAAGGTGTAAATTAATTTCAATAGAGGATCTTACTGTCTATAATGAAACTAGCTAATGGAATTATTTTGCGTACTATTTAGATTTTGTTTATTCTTAACCTAATCTGTTAATGTTTCCTTTTGTCTTTCCTGTCTCCTACAAGGTTTTATTAACTTCCTTCAGTTATTTAGCTCTTAAAAAGGAAAAAGATGCTACCTCAAATCTATATGGAAACTTAACTCTTTCTTTAGACCACTAATTACCTATACAAAACGACATCTAAGCTGGTTGGGTAAAATCCTATTTGTTGAATACCATTTTTGTTTTTAGTTTACTTTCACATTGTTTTAAGATGTATTCATTTTGTTTGTCTACTTCAAAGGTGTTTTAGTTCAAAAATTATAAACCAACCACATTTTCAACAAAGACTACATAATTAAATATGTATACACAGTCAACATAAATTTATGCTTCTTAAAATCAATTTGCTTGGTATCATTCATTTTTAAGTAAAATCTCATACAAACTACAAATGTTAAATTACCACCAAAATATTTTTTTCATCCAAAATATTCTCTCTTTAATCTACAACATGGTTTCTGGTAATAAAACATATAAATTAATTTTAAATACCTCTCTCCCTCTCTCTCTCTCTCTCTCTCTCTCTCTCTCTCTCTCTCTCTCTCTCTGTCTCTCTCTCTCTGTCTCTCACCACCACCCTTCTGGTTCTCTACTAAACCTCTACTAAACCACCACCTTGTAGGAGACAGGAAAGACAAAAGGAAACATTAACAGATTAGGTTAAGAATAAACAAAATCTAAATAGTACGCAAAATAATTCCATTAGCTAGTTTCATTATAGACAGTAAGATCCTCTATTGAAATTAATTTACACCTTAGTTGTTCTCAACTGCAGAGTGCCTTTACTCTTCCCTCAGCCTCTACTAAACCTCTGGATCAACTTGTCCCACAAACTTCCCTCCCTTCTGGCTCACTGCATTTTTTCCGCTTTTCTCCCATCCCATTCCTTGTACTTTGTCTCCATCTACTGGCCAGTGTCACACCACGCTCTCATTGCAGGGTTTTCCGCTCCTCTTGCTTGCCTTGAAATCACATGTGTCGGAAAACCCTTTCCTTTCTCTGGATATAGGATGCTATTTCCAGAGATAGGAACACACACTACTTCCTGTCCAGGACAGGATCTTGGCTTTCATCTCCCTGATGATCTAATTGCAGGACGCCGCCTTCTGGGACTTGGAAATAAGTCAAAAATAAC